TTCATTGAATACATGGACTTGCCTTTGGGCTCTTTTCCTTCTTTCCCCTTTTGCTCTTTTTGTCTTTCTTGTCCTTATTGGATTTCTTGTCCTTGGACCTTCTAGCTGCAGGAGATGGGCTGCGTCTACGTGGGGCCGGTGTAGCCGTTTCACCGCGTTTGAATGGACATTTGTCACCCCTTTTGCAATTGCCCTTAGCAAAGAACCTACATGGATTCTCAGATTTCCTACCTCTACCTGAGGTTCTTGATGAGTTTCTAGAACTGCTACGAGAGGACGGTCTGGAAGAACTTCTTGATCGGCTTGACCTGAAAGAGGAGCGACCACTAGAACTAGCACTACGCGAACGCGACGACTCCCGGCTAAGGGAGCGGTGACGGGCACTAGAGTCATGCGAGTACTTGCATTTGCTTCCGTACTTGCATTTGCCACTTTTGGCGAACTCATAGCATTGGTTGCTGTTGTCACGATTCGTGCTTCGTTTGCCATAACTAGGGCTTCGTGTGCGTTTGTCATGCGGCGCTGGGTTTGCATGTTTTGCTGAGCGTGATTGAGAGATTTTCTCTCTATTGGTCCTAAGCCTTTCCCTATCAAGATACCGTCTGACAGAGTTGATAACTGTCGTTACTTCCCTCTGAGGCACGTTCATAGACATCAAGGTCAAATCTGAGTTTACGAGACTTCCTAACCTCTCTATAGAAAAGATCCTTAAGTGTAGCTGGGTCCGGTACATGGCTCTTCCAGTCAACACACTTTCCCATTTCCTAAGAAAGGATTTCAAGTCATCACTATCAAGTGAGATCTTGAGGAGGTCTTCAGTACCATAAAGTGCACCCGCTTCTTCGGTAGTTTTGAAATGGACTTCAAACATAAGACCTGACGACCACGAACAATCCTACCTTGCTGTGCCTCGGACTCGCTATAATTAAGGATTTGCTGAGCCAGCTCGCCCTTAGCGACCTTAGTCAAAGCGGCAAGTAGTTTTGTATCTAAGGTCCGAAACTTGCCTGGGTCTGCCAGCTCGGAACAAAGCTTTGCCTTGTCTTCGTGAACGGCGTAAACCTCAAGCACCCACGCGAACGCGGCGTCTGGGTCATCGGACGCGGACCGAATCGCTAAGTGCGGTACCTGTCAGGACTGGGGAATTCGGGAAGGTCTATTTTGTTTGCCTCTGACTCTTTTGCTTTGGGTTTATCCTGGTCTTTGCCTTTAAACCCCTCTAGCCAGGCTCTCTTAATGACTTCACCTAGATCTTGTTCTTGGGGAGTTCGTACCTGAGATGCTGGCCCTTCATCTTTGCGGTCATCTTTGTTTTGTTTGGCATCCTGGTTAAAGGAGCCTTTGAACAAAGGGAGTCATCGCTGAAGTTGTACTGTGCCGACTTCTTCCGATATTCTGCCCAAGGATCTGCTGTATCAAACTTTCTTTTATCCGTTGAAGCTGTAGCTTGCTCTGTTGCAGCCGCCCCTGTTCCAGAAAACATTGAAGGAAATCCCGTGTTGCGTGTGTCTGCATTTGCATCCATTGCAGTCTTCACGGGAATTCCGCCAACATCTGGGGGCGAACCATCTACGGTTGGGAATTGAGCCTTCCGTACGTAGAGGTCCAAGTGAACGAGGTTGACCAATAGGGAAGCGTCAGCTTGTGTACCAGGTGGAGGCGGTTGAGGATGATGCGGCCCTGGTTTAGCGGGGCTTTCGGCTTGTGCTTTGCGTTCGGCCTCTTTGCGCGACGCCTCCTTGCGTTCTGCTTCCTCATTTGCATTGGATAACACCTGCACTGCCTGTCTGAGCTCATCCATTTCGCCTTTCAACATTATGTTGTCCTTCCTGAGTTCTGTAATTGTTTGCTGCTGAAGCCCATTGTCAAAATCGTTCTGTTTCTTGGCTGGTTCCATTTCGCTCAAAAGCGACCTGATCTTTGCTTGAGCAATTGCCAATGAATTTGTCAGTTCTTCGCGCTTGAATTCTAGATCTATAACTTTACTGGCGTCTTCGGCTGCTGTTGACCTGGCTTGCTCCGTTGCCTCTGCCGCTGACTTAAATCTAGTTTCGTTTGCTCAACGTACTGGCGATGTTCTGACTTCAACTTTTCAACATATACATTGCCATCATTGCAACTTGCTGCTAAGGCATCTCTCTCTTGTACAGCCTTTTCGTGAGCCATAGTTGCCTGTGCTAGCTGTTGTTGAAAATGCTCCCGCTGCTCTTCCAATGTACCTTGCAACCGTTTGATCGCAACATTGTCTTGCTGTTGAGCCCTTTGCTGAACATTTTGCACGGCTAACTCTGCCGCAACTTTTGTTGCTGCGATGGGTTCGGAAGCTTCTCTTTCATATAGCTGTCTGAAACGCAATGCTTCGAGTTCTGCTTCCATCCTAGCTTGCTCACTGAGTTGAAACTCACGTTGCTGTAGTTCACGTCGTAGTTCTTCATCGACTGTTGTAGCGTTTACATTGACGACGTTTAGCCGAGTCATTGCCGACATGTTGTTTACAGTTGGCGCACCCGTCACGGTGGCTGACGGCATGCCTGCTAGGGTAGCTTGAGTAGCTTCTTGAAGAGAAACACTGCCACCACTGTCTAGCATCTGTTGGTATACCTCCGAAGCTACCCTTGGATCCATTGCGGCCACCTGAGCAACTGCCTGCTCATGTCGTTGGACTGCATCCAAACTACCGGGCATGCTTGGAACAATGTCAAAACCACTTCCGTAGGCGTTCGGTGTGACGTCATCGTCCATCGGGTCCATACAGTACCCGACACAGGGTTGTGCCAAGCAAACAGCGGTGGGCCAACACAATCTTACAAAGAACTTGAAAAGCCAGCGACACAGGAAGAACAAACTTGTGAAGCCGGTGACACAGGGTTGCCCCACGTATAGAAGAAGCGTTGCAGCGTCAGTAACAAGAACCAAAGAAGGACACAAGGGATGGGGGACGGCAAACAGAGTAGAGCGCCATCATGACGAGCGACCATGGCTTTGACTCCTGTGCGCGCAACGCAGCCGGGGACTACATGGCAACACAGTGCTCCACAGTGCCCGGACAGTGCTCCAACAGTGCTCCAGACAGTACCCACGCACCAAAACCCTGTAAATACTGTGGGTATGGCCACAGGAGTGGTAAAGGAATCAATAAAAAGCCTAGAATTCAAAATTTCAATCGTTTTGCACTGCTACTGCCCGAATCGCTGGTATTTTCAATGTTTTTGACTTCCGAGCACTGTTTTGAGCACTGTCAGAGCACTGTGTACTTCCCCCGCAACATCCCTTATCACGTGACAGCAAAGTATAGTAAACACCAACAAAGGATAGCAAACAACAAACGGAGCAGCAAACAAGTGGCATCAGCCAGCAAGTAGGCGCAAAAAACTAACACAACAAGCTTGGTAGAGCAATATTACTGAAACGAAACTGTAGTCATGAAACGAGACTGTTGATGGACAAAATCCTGCACCACTTTGCGCACACTTTTCTTGCTGCCCTCGTTCTCCCTCGTTAACATTGGGGCCACCACAGTGAGAAAACAAAAACAAGTTGAAGGTCCAAAATCCTGCACCACCTCCTCAGAGGGGTCGCGCCAACATTGAATGAGGGGGCACGGGGGTTGCTACGCGACCCTTCCAGGGTAAAGTGGTGAGGTAGTGCAGGATTTTGTCCATCAGCAGTAGCTCTACTCTAGTTAGAGCATACGGCTGATAACCTGTATCTTACAGGATCAGCACAGATTTCCTAGCTATCCTAGCTAACCCTGTAGAACCGCTAAGCGTCTCTTTTACTCTACCTTGAGAGTCCACGCTACGGGGTCCATGGGGATGAGGTGAATTTCAACAAAACCCTTCCAAAGTGCTGCAAATAGCAAGGAATACGAAGGTGTCTGTTCCAAAGTGCTGCAAATACCACAGAAAGGGAAGCGCGTGCCTTCCAAAGTCTTGCCAATAGCAAGGAATATGAAAATACCATCAAATACAAGTGAAAAATCAACATCAGGTGCTCAAGTGCTGTAAATACCTGGATGCTAAGGTATAGGGGTGGGGGCCTTCCTGGTGATTTTCTATATATATAAAATTGCGGGGCGTAGCCTCCCATCCGTCTATTAGTCTATATACACACATCAATATATTATATAAATCATGGGGGTGTAGGTACATGTACATCTTTATGAAGTCAGGGGTGTGGCCGCCTGGCCCCCTGTTTAAGGCCTGTTGGACAGCCAGTCGTTCCCGACTAGGAATCTCTTGAGCGTCTGTCGGGAAGTTTCCCGACAAGTGCTCGGTGAATTAGTAGAGATTCTTATATAATTCATGTGTTGTTGTTGATATATGTTGTAATCATTCTATGATGCTCAAGGCATGAAGCATCATTGAGCCCGAAGGCCGCACTTGGCATCGGGAAGCTCGCCACAATTTTTTTTTTTAAATCTCTATAACATCACTCGCATCAGCCCTTCTTCTTCTTCTCCATACGATGCAAAGTAAATTTTACTGTATATAAAATGGCAAGTGTCAGCGTCAGTAATCATCATAATTTGGCACTTCAGTCTATAAAACTTTTTGGGGGGTAACCTCACAATAAGAATGCCTTCACTATAAAATCAGGTGGGTATATGCTCTCTGAAAACGAGATCAACTCTCTATAAAATCAGGGGTGTACCCTATCGTAAACCTCTATGAAATCACCAAATCACTATAAAATCAGGGGTGTAGCCAGCATATCCTGACATACATAAAGCCATTTTATGGGGGTATCAGCCATCCCAATTTTATACGAGCATATCTTTGCCGGTATGCTGCCAGCAAAATCAAGATAAACATCACACATTTCTCAAAACACTGTAAATAACACGCGTCCCAAAAATAGAAATAAGTCAATAATGTTAAAACATCAATGTTGCCCCGAGTCAATTTCTATCTAGTCAGCCGTCGATATAACCGCATCCTAAACCACAATCAAACAACATCAAACAACCACACTTTTGCAAGGGCCGTTGAGGCGGTGGCTCTGCAACGATGGCAGCCTTTTGCTCTTCCCAAATGACATGACATCACTGCGGAAGAACAGCAATAACACTAGTCCGAGCCCAAGGATCTCAACAGTGTTCAACCATTTTCCTGCAAAATGCTTTGATCAAACCTGGAGCTGGTTTGCTTTTTGGATATATACGGTACTGTTCCGTGTGCTCTCTTTGTATCTCTTTCACATTGCCGAAGATGCTGGTCCAAACGTCTTGACCAGTGTTGATGTGCAGGATCTGTGTTGAGAGACGACAGCATGAGGGCTTTGCTGATGAGAACCCTTTTCATACACTTGCAAACTTGCAGGTTTGCTGGCAGATTGTCTCCACATTGTCTCAGTCTCTATTAACTCCACCAGTGACGAGCCCAAAAATGCCAACCCGGTGAACACCTGCAAATTCAACATGCACATCAAGCGCAAAATTAGGCTCCAAAAACAACAAGCACATGGCAAGCCATTTTGCGCAACGCAGCGCCAGGCCTTTGGGCCTGTTTGGGGGAGCTGTGCTGACTACCTTTCTTCAGTCTAAAGCTGCTTCTGCTCGAGCACGTTTGACCTGCTCTCCTTGGAGTTTTCCGTCTCAACTTGCGATGTGGCAACTCAGCACATGGAAGAATGACTGCAGGCCTTGTGCTTTAGATGACATTTTCAGACTAGCAGCCAAACTTGGATGAATTTGGATGAATGCGATGTTGAAGTGTCTTGCTACTAAGACTCTGAGTACATTCAGCTCTCTGCAGCTCTGTCGGAGCGCTCGATTCCTGCTATATCTCCAAGACACATATTTAAAATATTTACGTTGTCACAACACAGCCAGTGAGGCTTAGCTTTGAAAGTAGCGCAGGCCTAACTGTGAGCAGGATGATTGACATGGTGTATAATATGTGTATGGTATACTTAGCTTCATGCGAGTAGAAGAACAGTTGCCCCTGTTTTGAACGGCTTTCTGCTGAGCATTAAATCCAAACAACAGCAGTCCTGTTTCTATCTCCCAGTTCATTGCGCTTCTGGCTGCTGAGCCGCCGCCTAAAGTTAAAGCGTTCCATAGACCTCTTGAAGGTGGCAAAGTTCGCCTCGGAGTCTCAACGCATGGAAGAATTAGTAATTAGCGATATTGTTCATAGTAGTAAGGCCAGGAGCCCCTAGTAGCGTTCTTGTTGTCAGGCGTCCTGTTTTCTAATTTGTCGCCACTCTGGGCCATCTGTGAGAGCGAGAGGCGAGAGATCCTTTCGTCATCTTTCGTCAGATAGTTACTAATATAGTTCATACACTTTAGCAAACAAACATAGCTCCAAATCCCAAAAAAGGAAGTACATTAACACGGAACACGGACAAGCCCCCAAGTAGCCTAACATAGAACAGGAATCCAAAACGTCTCTCCAGTATGGAAATTCTATGTTAGTCTCATGTCCCTCTGTCCGAGCAAGTTCTATGTTAGGCTTGCTTCACTTGGTCCACACATCCTTTCTGGACCACAAGTGCAGTACTGTAACAAGGGCAGCCGGGCAGCCAGTACTGTACCATTACCGTACCGACAGAATCACACACAGCCGTTCACATAGAACACGGGGGTGACATTTCTGGGGAGTACTCTTAGTACTCTACCTCATTGTAGCTTATCTTGAAGGATGGAAGCCATTTGTGGGGAGACCCCTTTCCTGCATTTCCGAGGCCAAAAAAGTAATTTCTGGTGGCAGTTTAGTAAATGATTTTATACAAAATGTTCAAGTTTGGTTTGGCTGCTTTGGTTCACCCAGTGTAAATACTAGGTAGCCAAATTTGCACCACACGTGCTGTACTGCAAGAAGGGTGGACCAGTACTGTACCATTACCGTATCGACAGAATCACACACAGCCGTTAACATAGAACGCGGGGTGACATTTCTGGGGAGTGTTCTACCTCATTGTAGCTTTTCTTGAAGGATTGAGGCCATTTGTGGGGAGATCCCTTTCCGAGGCCAAAAAATATAATTTCTGGGGGCAGTTTAGTACATTATGTTATACAAAATGTTCAAGTGTTGGTTTGGCTGTTTTGGTGCACCCAGTGTAAACACTATTGTAGCCAACTTTGGACCACAAGTGCTGTACTGCAAGAAGGGCGGGCCAGTACCGTACCATTACAATACTGACAGAATCACACACAGCCGTTAACATAGAACACGGGGTGACATTTCTGGGGAGTACTCTACCTCATTGTAGCTTATCTTGAAGGATGGAAGCCATTTGTGGGGAGATCCCTTTCCGAGGCCAAAAAAAGACGTTTCTGGGGGCAGTTTAGTAAACGATTTTATACAAGATGTTCAAGTGTTGGTTTGGCTGCTTTGGTTTACCCAGTGTAAATTCTAGCGTAGCCAACTTTGGACCACAGGTGGAGGACCAGGAGTTTGGAGCGAGGGAGCTTGGAGCGTGCAATACACATCACAACACATCACAAACTATTAGGAGGCGCAGGGCCTGTGTGAGGGTTTATGAAAGTTTAGGATGCCGGCCCTCCCGGGCTCTGAAACTACATTAACATGGAACCTGCCAGGCACAAAACACACTAACATGGAATCCTGGATAGGCACTAAGTGAAACGGGTTCGCATGCTATGTTAGCCCTCGGGGGGCCTTGTTTTCCTGCTTACATGGAACTGCGCCTGCAAAAGCATGTATGGTTAACACGGACCGTCAAAAAAGTTCTTTATTTTTTTTTGGGGGGGGTATGTATGTCTGCTGAAGAGTAATTCCTATTGCAAGCTGAGCATCCCTGAACTTTTCTGTTTCAGGCCCCAAGTCCACAATCTGTCCTTAGGCAACAAATGGCTGGCTTGGAATCTCTGCGCATCGACATGGAGCTAGCTTAACCCAAGATTCGCATCAGTGCCTGATTCTCCTTTTCCAGAAGGAGGGCCTCGCGCTGGTGACCATAGTCAACTGAAAAAACGTTCAAGCTCATAGCAACTTTGCAAACGACAATTATTTTTGGAATGTCTGGAGTTGAATTTGCTAAGCCATGCTAAGCCAATTCTTAAGATTGTTAAGCAACCAAACAAGCAACAACATCCAGTCCAGTACCACCAGGCTAGGCTCCACCACAGCACTGTCAGACTGTCAGCTCAAACGGTAGCATGAATGCCCTGTGCCCTGAAAATATATCGAACAAAGCAAGCTAGCCCTATCCTGGGTCGCTTTCATTTCTGGTTCTTGATCTTTCCAGTAATTACACACACACAGCCGCCTCCCACCCATCCGCACATAAGAAACCATCCAAACACAAGCTCACAACCGATATACCACCGACTACCCTGGGCGTTCGAAACATACCATTTTGGTCCATTCCTATAGATCATGATGGTGTGGCGGGTGCTGTACCTTCACTGGCGACCCTCCCACCGCCCAGCCCGCATCCACCCGATCCACCTCTCGAACGGGTCGAAGGACTGGTGGAAGTTCATCTGGATGGTCCCCTCGCTTCAATGCTTCCTGGCCTTAGGGTTGGAGCTTCGATGGGCTGTACACGCTAGACATGGGCTAGGTATGCAACAAAAAATTGATGAAAACATGTTCTTCAAATCACGGGCACAATCTAGATCAATTATAGGGCCGGATGCTATTGGCCCCTATCTGAGGGCGAGGTCAACTTCAAAAATCTCCAAAGGCGTGCTTGCTCAATTTCTTGCCAAGTCTCAGCGTTGCACGCCGGCCAAGCGAGCGTGGAGGTCATTTTGTCCTGCCGATTGTACTTGAGTTGGTTGCATCCAAACTGATGCGAAGTTTGGGTGTTCCCTGTGAAGTTTGGCTTTTTCTCTGCTGGGCTCTGCCTGCATGGTCTCGACTTGGCGGTACTTGCACCGTGCGCAAGGCTTGGATTTGCCTGCGTAGATGGAGTATGCTTATAACTTCTGGATTTCCTGAACCTTGCCGTGTTGAAGGCATCCTTTTGGCGCACTATGGCGCGGCCTGTCCATCTCCTGCACAGCTGTTTTAGCTTTCTCTTCGGCTTGCCTTGCCAAGCACTGACTCATGCCACCATTCAAATCTCCTTTCAGTGATCAGTGATGGAACAATGTCTGATACATCCGCGCCAACAATGTAGCGTTTGCGTCATGTGATATGTTGGTTTCGGGTCAGCTATGATCGGAAACTGGCATTGTCAAGCAACAAGTGCCGCCAGGTGGCCCATCTATCGGAACCTTCATGCTGGCCTGTGGGGAAGAAACATTGGCTGTGGTGTAGCAAGAAAGCAAGCCAAGTCCCCTACCACAAGCATGCGTTCCTGCACTTGTCTCTCCAGCTCCTAGCGTCGGAAAGGTTTCTCCAAGCCCTGACGCTTAAGTCAAAGAAGTTGCATCAGCCTTTTTGTGCTCAAGTGGCGCTTCCAGGCGACTAAATCTCCTCGGCCATCTGCTGCCATCTCAGTCTGAACATGGCCGAGCTCATATCCCCTCGCTTCCAGTTTGGAGTGGAGCTGGCACACGTCTGACGAATCCATGTGCGTGACTTCACAGAAGATCATCAAAGGATCAAAGCCAGGAAGCCTTAGAAGCAGGTATATCAAACCAATGGAGATGAATCACAACAAGTGAAGGCGCAGCAAGCGTAGTATAGAATCTCCCGAAACCACTTGAGGAGATGGGGGTGGACGAAAGGTAGCATGTCTGCGGCTGCTGCTGCTGCTGCTGGTTGCTTAGTCGTTGCTGCTGCCACTGGTGCCACTACTGCTGCTTTCTGCTTTGCTGCGCTGCAACCGCTGCTTTGCTTTTGCTGCTGCTGCTGCCGCCGCCACTGCTGCCGCTGCCGCTGCCGCCGCCGCCGCCGCTGCTGGTTGCTGCTGCTGCTGCTGCTGCTGCTGGTTGCTGCTGCTGCTGGTTGCTGCTCCTGCTGGTTGCTGCTGCTGCTGCTCCTGCTGGTTGCTGCTGCTGTTTGGCTGTTGCTGTTGCTGCTGCTACTTCTTGCTGGTTGCTGCTGTTGCTTGAATCCTGAAGGCTGCTGCTGCTGCTTTGCTGTCCCCCCCTCTTTCAATTTCGTCTGCGCAACCCCCAAAAAACTGAACGAAAATTAAGGGTTGCGGAGGCCAAACTTGTGTGAGCTTTGGTGCTTTGCTGCTGCTGCTGCTGGCTGCTTGCTTCTGCTCAGATCACTACCAAATTCTCCGCGGCGCAGGGTGGAGTCGAATGGGGGGGAGGGGGGGGGCCCCCCCTGACATTTAAAACCAACTCTTAAACGACCGAAATCAAGCACCGGACCACTTCACCACCCCCAATACATTATTGCTAAAGCAAAGACAACTCAGGTAGCGTAACCGCTACCTTTCGTGAAAACGTCACTTCAACAGGTTGGCCCTGAATGAAAATTACCTGCCCAGCTTGAAGACCCGACTGTGACCTCACTCGGAGCTAAAGCCAGCAAACAACACTGCACAGGAATCACAAATGAGCATACCAAAGCATCTGAGGAACTGCGGATCGCCACACAAGTTTTTAGTTTAGTTTACTTAATTTTGTTGAACCTTCATGGCTTTCTTGTGTCAAGGTGAGCTCCCACTTTTCCAAGAAACTTCAAGAAGCTTTTCAAGATCTGCTCATCCAGTCCCTCGGCATCGATTGCTAAAACATCAACCTCTTTTGGCATCATGTGAGCTTCCTCCAGCAGGATGGCAGGCGTCTTGCAGCAAACCATGATCTCCTCTATATAGTCAAGAAACTGTTCTCTAGACAAACCCAGAAAATCATGATGCTTCAGCACATGCTCTTTGTCCATTGAATTAAGCTGGCACATTGCCCAGTGGAAAGCCTGCCGTGGGTAGTCTTGCTTAAATCGATCAGAGACTATGTAGAAAGGCACCGCTCGCGCGGAAGACGAGGCCACTGCTGCATTCACAGTTGTGATGCGGTTGCCAGCATTCATTTTTACCACTTTGCTTGCAAGTGCTGCGCAAGTAGGTGGACTTGCTTCTACAAGCACTGCCATGACCTTCGGCTCTCGTGCCACGAAGCTTTGCACAGGATCATTTGAGGAGGCGTCGCCAGCCTCAAAGTCGCCGTCGCATGCACCTATCTGGATGAGGTTTACAGAACCGTCCTTCGCAAGTGATTGTAGTAGTGGAACTACGTCAATGGGTCCACCAAGTGCACTTTTGCCTGGCGCACTGCTAGCCAAGGCAACACTCCTTCCCCTGTCCCAGCGCTCCAAGGTTGTGAAGCTCCAGGTGCTGGACAAAGCAAGTGTCAGTCCTGCCAACGAGATTGGTGCAAATCTTCTAGATCTGTTGGTCTGTCGCTGCCGTCGCTTTTGAGGGCAGCCAAAGCGATGACCACAGGACCAAGTGCAGTCGCCATGGCACTGCCTGTAATCCTGGCTTGCCATCTGAATGTGGATCTGGAATTCTGAAGGTGATGGCCTTGTGCTCTTACTGACTCCCTCTCTCTCTCTCTGGATTTATGTATAATAATGTATAACATAAAAGTTAGACAGTACAGTATTATATAAATACAAATATACGACTATATATATATATATATACTACCCTCTGATGAGTAAGGATTTGTGCCTCTGATGAATTTGTATTGTGGGCACAGGAACTCCTAACACGTGTCTGCAGACAGGTGGATGTATATAAAAAATGTCCAGGAAGCGTATGTGGCGGGCATATGAGTAAGGAGTTGTGTATGGAAGACCCCCCCCGGCCAAAAATATAAAATCGTTGCAAACACAATGACACTACAAGCATGAGTAAGGAGTTGCGGCAACACCAAAGAAACACAGTTTTTTGTCGGCTGACCTTGCGTTGCCCTAGCCATGAAATCTCATCTAGCCCACAACTCCGAACTCACCACTCCACAAAACAATTGTTTTTGTCACCTGACCCCGCGCCAGCCATGAAATCTGGTACACTCCTAGCTTTTTTTCTTCTCCAGCCGTGAGTTGCCATCTCAATTGGCCTTTTTGATCTTTTTGGCCGGAATTGGTCGAACCAGGCTCTCTTTTTCACTTAATAAGTCAGATATATTTAATATATCTGTTTTTCAATCCAAAAAATGCTAATGATGCAGCCGGCCGCGGGCAGCATCATTCAAACCACGTCAACTGAAGACGGACCACCCTATGCCTGCAACCAAATCTGACACTTGTCTTCTCCTGGACCACAACTCCTAACTCATGTGGGCATTGTTCCACAAACCACGAAAGCATGATCCTTTAGGAACTGTTCGAGCATGCTCAAATTCTGGTCATTTTCGCAATGTTTTGGGTGATGATCACGACGAGTAAGGATTTGCAGCAAATTTGCGAAGCAGTTGTAGGCTGATGAGTAAGGATGCAAAAATTGGCATGTGCCTCCGTTAACTCCTTAGTCACTAGAGGCTAGTATATATATATATATATACGCGGTCGTGCTAGTCTTCAGTCGAGGCCCCGATCCACAACTCCTTTTCGGCCCTTGAAATCTGATGTCAGCCATGCATTTGCGGCATGGAATTTTGTGTGGTGTGAATGCTGCTTGACTGCTTGGCTTGTGCAAAACCTTCTGATTTGATGTGTTTGTCTAGATGGCATACAGCGTTTGAGATTTGCAAGCTTCCTGCGGCAAAGCTAAAAACTTTTAATAGGCGGCCAAGGTCGTGGCGCGCACAGAGTGAACACTCTTTCCGAGTCTCCTGAACCTCCAGCTGTAAGTTCTCCTGCTCCTTATCCAATTGGCTAAGCAAGGCTGATTGCGCTGCCTGAAGTGTAGGATGGAGTACGTGGGATGGCGAAGAAAGAACAGCATGGACGGTTCTGTGACGGTCTGTGACGATCAAATCACTTCGGGCTGTCAAAAAAACACACCAAAAAAAGCAACATCTAAAAACACAAACGCGCAAAAAAACCACAGCTATCGAGATTGGCCAAGCAAACAAGCGAAACGGTCAAGTCCCTTCGAACATCGAATCTGGGAACACTGGGTGCCAAACGAGCGCACTTTTTCCTAAGTCGGCTGGTGATGCAGGCTTGATCGATGGTTTGCCAGAACCTGAAAGTATGAATGATGCATCATGATACATCCTATCAAAGGGCAACCCTAGCAAAAGCAGGGGTGTTGTATTGCCAAAAATCCATCCTCAAACCTACCCGACAATTGCTGCCCAGGTGCTGATTCGGCCATTGGAATCCTGCCGTATGTTGCTGTTGGCATTCTTGGATTGATTGATGATACTAGTAGGTGTTCATCTGCTACACATGTTGCAACATGTTGCAACCTGGAACGGTGGCCAAACTGCTGGGTCCAGCCTCTGAGAAGACATCCACCCATTCAGCACAAGGCCGGTTGCTGCTCAGCAGCTCCCGAATGGCCTCTGCGACCACGGCATCCGCACCTCGGTGCACTGACATCTGCACGACAAACGACAAAGGCATCCCCTTCACTTCGCTGCTTCGCCGCTTCGCACTTTTCGAGGCTGTCTGGAAACATCTTGAAACCTGGACGCGCGGCTCGTGCGAGCCTATACTATGGCTGTGACAGCCCTGGCACTGGAGCCGTGTGCCAAAAAGTAAGAACTTCTGCCAATTCTTCTCGTGCCATGCCGCCAGCAGCATCATGGCGAAGTGCTGAACATTGCTCTGACGTGTGATTTTTAAGGAAAGGCATGCCAACAAAGGAAGCTACGAGCTACCCAGCCCCAATCAACCGTAGAATGCAAATGACCGCACTTTTGACCACGGCTAGTGCGTTCTTGAGCTCGTTCATTGTCGACCCTCCTCAACGCCATGAGCAAGTAGACTGGTTTGGTTTTTAACTGCGTCAAGGAAGCCAATGGCTAACCATCCCAAAAGTGCCAAAGCATTTCGCAGCCAAGCACTTGGTCAGCTGAGAAGCTGCGGATCGAATGTTGTGGTACCTTTTGGCATGGAAAGCGCCGAGCTGCCACAGGTTGGGGCTCCGACACCAGGTGGGAACAGGGTCCGCAGGTTCCACCACCAAGGACCTTCAAGCGGGCGTCCAATACAAAGACAAGTGAGCTGCGCGCAAGACGGGTCTTCTCAAATTCTCCCTCATGTGCCACACAGCCCATCCCATCCTTTCCCATGCACCTCCTCTGTGGTACTCCCTCCTGGGCTGAGGCACCAGAGGAGTTTGACTTCTGGCCAAAGGAGACTTGCCGTGGGAAAGAGCTGCCTGAGCAACACACATTCACATTCAAATCCACTGGGAACCTGCCCGAATGACTGAGAAGCAAGTGTCCGGACTGGGCGACCGGTCTCGAGCCAACAGACTCATTGTCGTCCTCTGATATCATCCTGACATACATCACGTGCTTAGCTAATGTGCCTAAACATATCGAAATTATGCAGTTGGCACCACGTCAAACGCAGCATTTGAGGCAAATCGACCGTCACTAGCCCACAAGGCTGGTTGAATCTAGAGGGCTGCAATCTTTCCACGAGCATTCACCTCCTTGCGTTCCAGTGAGCAGATACAAGGCGGGAGGGGTGTCCTGGCACAGGCTTTATAACTCTGACAGGGGGTTCGGTGAGACAAACATAGACTGCCGAGCTTGGTCATGAAATCATAGCAACTAATTAATGCAAAACCTCTTCCGTGATTTGTCTTATAGTATATATTTAATTTAATATGTGGGATTGGCTGCAGCTAGCTCAATCAAGTACTGATTCTGATTCTGCATTGGCATTGAACAAGCAACTCAACCCATCTGTCGTGCTTGTGGCAAGCTGATGCTTGGTTTCAGAGTGGAAGCTGCTGGGATATTGGAGCGGGCACAAGCCTCTGTGCTTCTAAAATTCTGGCATGGAGTCTGACACCCTCTCACTGAGTTCAACACTTTAATACACACACTGACACACTTGCAAAAGTAACACCACTTATCAGTGGCTGCAATTTGCAACAGTTGAGCGCCAGACTAGGGATGTGACTATGAGATCGTGCTGTTCCTCACCAATGGCTTTGCATATCATGTGATATCATGCGATGGGCAAACACCATTGCCCATGAAACAGCACGGCATGGCAAGGCTTCCAATGGTTCCCGGGTGGCATTCCCAACCTGCAAAAAGCGAAGCGCTTCTTCTTCGCCAGGCACTAGCTGCTCCTGATAGGGAAGGACGTTTCAAAGCCATGTCCATGCACCAAAACAAACTCAAACGATTTCCGTTTTGTGGCCTTCTTATGCAATTCAGCCTCTGAAGCATCCAGGCTTTTCCGCTGCTCAGCCCAATCCCGCTGGACAGCATATTGCTCCTCTAGCATGCCTTGGGGGAAATGGACCCGTCTCGTTCAATGCGAATCGCCCACTCATCCAAGGCCAAATGACGGTTTATCGCAGTGAGCAGTTCCGCCTTCCTTTTGATTAGCCTGGCCGTAGTTGTCCAATGCGCCAAAACACTACAAGGAAACCTCACTCAACAACTTGTTTTCACCACTTGTTTGTCGAAGTGTAGTATGGTTCTTGACTGCTCGTCGCGTGGCAGTAGCTGCAAGGTGCTGCGTGTGCGACACGACATGGCGCAACCACACCAAAGCTTCATTGTCCAAGCCTGTCAGTTTCCATTTGGGCCCGTTTCCGATCTTCCATTGCCACATTGTCCAAGTTCCAATCCTGCCACAGTCAAAAGCTGCACCCCAAGGTGGTGCCAGTTAATATGTAACATTGCGCCTGTGTCCACTTTGACGCAAATCTATACTCTCTCTCTCTCTCTCTCCCCCTCTGTCACATACACAAACATGTACATATAAAATATATATACACATATTGGGTCTATCCTATTACCTGTAACAGTGGATGATGATGCTTAGTAGAGGCCTTGTCCAAAAATAGTGCTAATTGTTGTTTGCTGACTGTTACAGGTAATAGGACAGACCCAATACACACACATATGCATATGCATATGCACTACATAGCCGGCCGCTCCGTATGCGGACTGCTTTTGTTAAATCAGCCTGCGCCTTCTGAACTAGAAGGCTACAAGCACGCCTAACGGCACTGTGTGCCATTACCAGCATAGTCCATACCGGCCATCACGGCCTTTCCAAGCGCCCCTAAACGGCTCAGTGCTTGCGCAAAGAAAAAAACATCTTGCGCAGCACGTTGAACGGCTTAAGGGCAGATCGTGGCAAGTCAACTGGATCAGGGTGAAAAATAGATACGGGCGGCTACATAGCTTTTTGCGAGTCAATGATCGGTACTCTGTTCTACAAAGCCGCAATCTGGAGAAAAGAAGAGCTGACAAATCCAACGGCGCGGACGAGTCAGACCTGCAAGCCATTCCTCCCAATTGGTAAGAGGTTTACTACCATCCCGAGTCCCATTGTCAGTCAAATCAGAAGCGCAGAAATGCCTGTACTTATCAGGATGTTTTTTGATATGTTACTGT